TTTAATTCGAATTAGCTTCCCTTAGCATTCACACAAAACTAATTTTGTTTGATTTTAGTTGCTAAGTAAAAAAAAAATTCAGAATAAACTAATTCTTATTAATTCCCTTGTGCAAAAATTCTATCAAAATTTTACATTTTGACTAAAGGTTAGATTGACATTGACATTTATTCTTGAGGGTCAAGGTCATAGTAAACATCTTACCCATATGTCACAGTAAGAATGACATACTTATCTGAGGTCTTACGTAATACTGACATTTTGATTTGAATTCACAGTGAAGATGACGTTATCTTTTAATCTGAGATTTGTTTGTTGTTTAATGTCCCTCGCAGGAATTTTTCACTCATATGGAGACGCCACTATTTGCCGGTGGAGGGCTACAAATTTTGACCTATACTTGGCACTCAGGGTCATGGAATGGTGAGGGATTTTTTCGTGCCAACATCTACTGCAACATGGGACCTCGGTTTATACGTTCTCATTCAAAAGACTGATCTCCATGTCCCACAGTGGGATTCCAACCCATGCCATAAGCTCTAACCACCGCGCCATGGGGGGTGACTTTAATCTGAGGTCACAGTAAAAATGTCACATTAATTTGTCAGGTGATAGTAAAATTCATTTTGACCATAGTCATGTTCATTCTTTTACTGTCATATTGTGTACCAACTATTGCTTAACAGTGACCATAGGTATAGCTTAAACTATGGAGGTATTAGGTAGAAATGTCAATGTCATACTAATTGAGGTTTCAGTCAAAAACTTCAATTTCACGACACCATAAGCACAAAAATGATTATCAAATAGAAAAATTTTATCAGAATCTTTATCAGGTCACTGTCCTAATTAACATGTTTAATCAACAAACAATGTAATTTATTATCAGTTTGTGCAATTTCAATAGGGTGTCATGTGAATGTATCCAATTAATGAAATAACTTAGTCATGCATCTATGAGTAGGTTGTACTAATCACATGTCACTAATTAGCATTGATATGGATGACGTATCAGTTGTCATCACTACCTGTACAGATAGTGGATATTTGGAGTCACCAAGAGTATAATTTATATAAGGGTTTTACATCAGATCAATTTAGAAATGTATTCCAAGAATCATGAACTTTGAAAGCTAAGGATTCAAGGGAGCAACTGTGTATTTATTTGATATTTAATTAATATGCTTGTGATTCACAAGTAGAATCTGATTTCACTGTCAGTTTGAAGTATGATTTTGCCGACTTTCACATTATAATAAAACCATTTCGTAGATATTCCACTGTCTTTTAATAATAGATGAATGTCATTTCTCTAAGATTTTGCTGTTTTTTCAGCAAAAACCATTAGAAACATATTCCTCATAGCAGTAAGGTTAGATTACAGAACAACAAATTTAAAGAGAAGGCAGTGAGAAAATATGTACATATAGCACTGGTGACCCCTGGTTCATGCTGAGGTGATGATATTTTAAACATGCAGTGAATTTGTGAGGCTTTCCTTCTAGTTGTTACAATTATGTTATTCCACAGTGTTTGAGAGAGTTCTCCTTGAAGTGTATACTGGACTGGCAGAGAAGTTAGAACTGCATGGAACCAATTTAATCTTGGAATGTTCTGTGTACAAATGTTATTTCTATTACCAAATCTTAAACAGTAACTGAATATACTGTATTCACCCTAATTAGTGCCCCTGATTGAAATAGAATTTGGTACACAAGTAGACAACATTAAGTCACATAATTCTGTTCATAAGTTTTTAATTTTATTGTTGTCATGGTTATAAAAACAGAGATTTCTGTCGTATTCTTTCAAAACCCTCCTCCTCCTACAGTTTCAGTTCGATTTCAGTATTTTAAAGTTGGTACACAAGTAGACTACATTAAGATTACTAATTCTGTTTATCAGTTTTTGATTTTGTTGAAGTGTTGCCATGAAAATTTCTGTGAAATTCTTTCAAAATGCTACTCCTGACCAATGGTTTCAGTTTGAATATAACGTGGTACATATGTGGACTACATTATATTAAAATACATTTCTGTATATTGTTTTTTTTATTTTGTTGAGTGTTGACGTGGTTGCTAAAAAAAGAAATTTCTGTGAAATTCTTTCAAAATATTACTCCTAGCTACTACAGTTTTTGATCAATTGCAATGAAACTTGACTCAAAAGAAAGAGACTAAATCAAGGATCATTATTTTACATACTGCTGTTGCCATAGGTTCAAGTCCAAGTGCTTAACCTTTCTCTACTTTTATGAAGAAAAAAACCAGTAGAGCTACAGCCTCAGCAGAGACTTCTGGTTAAGTTACACTGTAATTTATAAGTGATGGATCTAAGAAGCACCCCTTATTGCCAATTTTTCAATGCACCCTGTGCAATTATTATGGTGAATACGGTATACTAAGGTTTACAATATTCTACGTCTCCCAGTGCTCTAAAAATGGTATGATTAATTGAATATATATGCATGGAGATTAAATTAGTGATACAGTAAAAAATGCTTAGTAATACGGAGAAAAAAGAAAATTACTTTGCTATATGTTTGTATGAATTCATTATAAGCATGTTCACTGTAGCCTTGTTTCACTAATATAGTGACTTTCATTTTCAGTCTGCTACTGTACAGCTTTTCTTGTAAGGAATCACTAACATTGACTGAAAGATCTACAATTATGAGTTGGTAATTTTTGAAAGATTATAGACAGTTTTAGAAAATTTGTAATTTCTTCATCTCTTCAGAGAGGTGTGTTGTTTCTGGAACTCATTTCTGCATTGTAAGTTCATCTTGCAAAGATTTGGAGATAAAGCATGTATGTAAAATCTCAGTCTTTTAAGTGTTGATCATTATAAACATGAATCTTAATTCCAAGAAAAATTCATCAGAATTAATAAAAGAAATCAGAAAGACATCTCTATCTAAACCATAGTCGATTATTAACTGGGGGGCAATGACAAGCCTAATCAAAATCTGTGGTATCCTATTTTTTGTAAAAAAAAAAAAATCTCCCTAATTATCTCAGCAGTTAGTCATATTCCATACTGACCACAATATTTTTGTACATATTTTTTTTTGACATTAATTAGCACAACGAAAACCTAGCCACTCTTATGATAGGGGCAAAGAACGTTTCCCGTAGGCTAATTAAGTAAGATCGAGATTCATTACATTCCCTTCCTAAAACCCTCGAGCTAATCCATTTGGATACATATAAAGGGATTTTTTTTATGGTCAGTATGGAATAGGAATACTTACTGCTGAGATAATTAGGGAGTTTTTTTTTTTTTTTTTTTTTTTTTTTTTTCAAAATCATCATCACACTTTAGGCCTGATGTTTACAAAATCAAGAAATAAAAGGCATTATATTGTGAAGCCCTGCTGAGAGACTGAAACTGATAGACACTTGATGCATTGCAAATAGATATGATCTAGTCATGCAAATTTGAATTTTGTAAGAAATAATTAAAAGCTAAAATAGTCATTTTCTTAAACCTGTGAAAATGATTGATGATATATATGTCATGAAAAGCTAAGGTTACTTCTGTGATTGTTCTGTGTTTGGAAATCAGTAATCCTAGAAATTTCTTAATTTGTAAAATATATGTTTCATTAAATTCTATATGTGGGAAACATTAAGTTACACAATTTTTTTTTCTTTATTGAACTTGTAAGATATCCAGAAAATAAGATGTTTTAAATTATATATTTGGGAAAATGATTCATATAATGCATTTTCCCCTTTTATATAGTTCAGCTTTCCTGCCAGTCATTTTTACTTCCCATAAAAGCACAAAGAAGCGAGAGAAAAACCTTAGTCGTATCTTTTTAATGTTCTCACGAAAAACATGAACACGAGCTTCAGAAGGAGCTCTTTATGGTGCTAAAAAAGATATTAATGGAGTTTAGAAGACATTTAGACTATCTCGGGGGTTTTATCAACGAAATCTCTCTTCAGCCAAAATGCTATTTGGAGACACTTTTACTGTGAAACATTGTATGATTTAATTAAGCCAATAATCACAGTCATGAAGTACAGCCCCCAGCTTCCAAGAAAGCTTCTCCTTTACTCAGAGGACTTTAAAACGATTTATTTAATAGAAAATGTTAATGAATAAATTTCATGCTGTACAAAATTAATTTTTCCTTAATTCAAGATTTGGCATATGTCATGAGATGGGAGGAAATTTTGCTTTTCAAAATTGGGTGTAGGCTATGAGAGAATTAAATGTAACTCTACCTCAGAGAGCAGGATTTTGAATGTTAATGAAGCTAGCATTCATGATTAGGCTACTTTAGAAATCTGAGATCTTTCTTTCATGACTCCATAAATTTAAGTGGCTAAGAATAGACAATGAAGTGTTTTTTTAGGTGGATCTATCAGGAAATGTTGTGTGGTCTGATAAATTTTGATTTGTTACTGACTGTTAGTAAGATAATACTAGACAAAAAACATAAAAATACATAGTTATTTAAAAAAAATATAGAGGTTTGAAATGGCAACTTTGCATATTCTTATTTTTTAGTGTATCATATCCAAAATTTAACTCAAGAATTGGCTACTGGGAATATTTAACAAAATCTTGAATTGGTGCTAAATGCATTATATTTGTAAAAATAGTCACATTTTGGCTATTTAATTAGTTTTGCCAAAAAACTCCAATTCAAACATTCCAGAAATTTGAAAGAACACACACACAGTTAATTTGTCAAATTATTGCAAGTAATTTTGGTAATTGGGAATATACGCATGTGGCTATTTTAAATTTGTTTCCTTCCCTCCCTCCCCAATCAACAAATCTCAGTAATTAAGCTAAAGAGACAGACAAGTCTTTAGTAGCATGTACTAAGTGTTTACAATCTCCGAGCTGTTCATGAAGAACAACATTTTCATATTGTTGATGTAGTGTCTCCATCAGTTTGAAGCATTTTAAAAGCACCCTGCCTGTTCCAACTTCATAACAAATGGATTGTGTTAAAAAAATAACATTTATTAAAGGACATCTGGTGTTAAAATTTAAAAAGCTAAACACAACAAGAAGATGGGTCAGTGAGGAACAATATTTGATTGCATCAAAATTAGACTTGAATTAGACTTCAGTTTAAGTCTTCAAAGAGAACCTTTACCATTTTTACAATGAATTAAATCACTTTGAATCATCCTGCCATCAGGTATTTTGATTGTCCAGCAAAATGCATGCATGGATGAAATTTTGTTTGATAGAAGGCATTTTGATTGATTTTCTTATTGCCAAATTTTCCTTAAATTTTGACAGTATAGATAAAAAAATTGAGAGGAAATACTGACATTGTACATATTATACAGATGTATAGATAAAACATCCATATTACAGCAATACTTTTGACGATTTTTCACAAAGGGTGGTGATGATGATAATTCACTGAAATCTGTCCACCATGTTTCCTTCTTTCAGTAAAAGACATAGGATAACTCATTGTGCTGCGATCAGCAGCTCGCAGAGAACCGTTTATGCAAATGTGACATTTTAAGATCCGAATAAATGCCCTGCGGAATGAAGTGTTGAACATGGTATAAATAATGGGGTTAGCCAAGGAGGCCATATAACCCATCCACTGGAACAAAGACATTAGTTCTGGAGTTACATTCTGCATGCAGTGCTGACATGTCACAGACAAAATATTCACAATGAAAAATGGAGTCCACAGAATCACAAAAACGGCAAAAATAATTCCTAGCACCTTTGAGGCTTTTCGTTCATTGGTGGTAGCCCGTTTGGACATCACAGGACTAGCACCCTGATTTTTGTTGAATTTGGAGAGGAGTTTGTTTATGGTCAAACTTCTATTGATCATTTTGTGACCAGCTTGGCCATTATGCTTTCCTGTTCCATTACAAAGCTGGTGTCCAGAACCACCATAGATTTTGCTGCCAGATCCTATCAGTGGACTAGAGGGGCTTGGAGATTTTGTTGTGAACTTGTACATTTGAAGGGTTGTTGGACGCAACTTGATTGTCAAACTCTCGGAATTGTCCGAGACATCTGAGGGATCAATAATTGAGTCACCCGAATCAGAGAGAGGCATAGACTGCTGGCTTGATATGCTGATGTTTATACTGGAGTGTGACTGCTGACGACTTGCACAAAGGCATTGTGAGGGATTCTCATTTCCACTAGTGTGTTTTGAGTTCAGTAAACTTGTTTCTGTATCACATTTTGGAAAAAATGTGTTGTTGATTGTTGTGGAAAATTGTTGTGATGCTTCTGTCCTTGGAAGTAATTGGCTTGTGCTCCAGTATAAAGCATCAGAAGTTGAGTCAGTTTCGTCCCAAGCATTTTTGTCCCTGTTGTCAATAATTTGTCGCAAATGCTTTACATCTGTTTCTGTACAATCCTTCTTGTTAGAAGAATTTTCATGTGAGTCATAATATGTTTCATCATCAGAAATTTCTTTATTCCAAATAGAATCATCTGAGCTTGAACTTTTAGCTTGAGCAAGAATTGATTGTCTACTGGATTTAAGGTCTTCTTTGTCAAAATCCCCTTTCAAAATTTGGTCCATTTCTTTTTGTATTTTGGAATAATTTTCCTTCCATTCCACAAGTTTAAGGTCTTTTTTCCCAATGTCACTGCAACTGTGAAAGTGACTGTTTCCTGAACATGGGATCAAGTTTGATAAGATAGAACTAGTGGTGTTCACTGTTGAGCATGACACGGCCTGATGCAAGCAAGATTTTTCTGTCGATCTTTTGACCAAGGAATCATGGGAGCTGAGGCGTAGAAAGTTATCTCCCCTGGATGGCAACAGTAAATGTGACTTGGGAGATTTTGTACACATTGAGCTGTAGGAAGGGTAGTCATAATGGGTTGCTTTTAAGCAGGAAAGGGAGGAAGCTTTTTGCTCCAACTTCATTTCTCCAGCCTTTTGCACATTACCAGATCTAGAAATAGACTTGGATATTTTGATTTGAACCATTTCAGTTTCTTTATCTTGTTTTGGATCATTTGCACACTTGATGCTATATTTAGAATGAAATGTTTGAATGAGAGAGTTTTCTTGATTAGAGCTGACAGCTGGATCTTCATTAAGGAGAGATAATTGATTTTGTGGACTTTTGTCATCATGGCGTGGGGTGTTCAGTTGTGTCCCCAGAACTGTTGCATCAGTATCGTTACTTCTATCTCCGTCTTCCGGCTGTGGATGTAAGAGTGACTTCATCTCACATATTTCTCCATGTTTCAGCCTAGATTTTATAAATGTATCAGACCTGTCAATTTTCATGAGCTTCTGGTTTCTCCAAAGTATCCTTATGGTCAAAATATAGGTAACCAACATGATGGTCAAAGGAATGTAGAAAGCAAAGATTGAACCATAGATGACGAAGTCTTGGATGGCTGGAACACACTGCCCTTCGTTAAACACTGAGTTGGTGTCACTAATTCCATAAAAACAAATAGGACTACTAATTGTTATTGATACCAGCCAGGCAAACAGAATTTTCAGAGCGACAGTCATTTTGGTTTTGTTTCTTCCATATTTCATTGGGTACTTGAGGGTGAAGTAGCGATCCATGGACATTGTACACATGTGCCAAATAGAGGCTGTACACATCAGAACGTCAGTAGTGACCCAGAAAATGCAGAATTCTGGTCGCAGAGGAAAGTTTCCTGAAACAAAGAGAAATTTGTTATTTTTGGGATTGATCTCGCATAATGTATTTGTGAGAATTTAATCAAAATCCCTTTTTTCATGAGAATAGAACTTACATGTACCAATTGATATTCATTTATTCATTTTTTTTAAATACATTCATTTGAAAAAAAATAATTATGAATCTGTGCAACAAGAAAATAGATTGGTTATTAAAACATTACAAAATTCATACTTTCACCCATCCTGTGTTTACTTGTAAAATTTCAGTGTTTATGTATTATGTGATATATGGTACGTAAATGAATGTGATAAACATCCAAGTTAATCCGATATATTGGAGGACTTAATTGAAGGTACTACCACACCTAAAGTTGTTTACAAATCAGATACATCATCAACGTAGCCAGAAGAGCATGTAACTACTCCAAAGAATTAAATAAAGATTGATCACGCCTTAGCCTTTCTGTTGTCTAACAGAGAACTGCAAGCTACCATACTTAATGTTTCTTGGAATCATGGGTTTTTGAAAGGAAATCGTACGGTTTATTGATACTGTATGGAAATTATTGTCTTATTGATTCTCTTTGGAAATTTTATTGCCATAAGATATGTTTCAGAACATTCAGAATAGGAAATGTGGCAAATTTGAAACATTGATAGAAATTCATGTGTATAATATCTCTATAGTGTTTGTAATATTAATGAACCTATATGAGTGAAATTTATTGGTTTATCCTAAAGGCACCTGTCTTTCATTAGCTACCAATATAAAATTTCAGTTCACTCAAATGTCAATCAAATTTTTATTTTTGCATATTAAGTAGTTAAGAATGTTTTATACTAGAGATTTGGGAAGTGTTTAATAGGGAAATAAAATTAGAATTCACAGATATATATATACCAAAACCTAAATATTCAGAGTTTTATTTATTTATTTTAAATTTTTTTCTTTAGAGGGAAAATAAATTTTGCTGAAATATCACAAATCCCAATATTGATAGAAACACATGTGTTTGAATCTTGCATTCATCAATTATTTTTAAAAATATCAAATTTTTAAATAGAACGTGTTGTTAATCACATTTCAAATCACATCTGAGATTGCTGCTGCAGGAACATTCTAATATTGCGTTTGTGATAATCTGAATGCAGAACTTAAATAATTCATAAGAATTTTATCTTCAAGATGGAAGCAAACAGCAGGAGGCATTCTGGAGTATTTCATAGCAAAAAAGACATGCTAGAACTGCAATGTATTTCCGTATTAAAGTTGTGATATTAATCAGCAAGGCACGCCAAACATTCAATTTTTTACTGATAAAAACAAAAAGGTACTTGATACCAATGAATATTTTATTACTATGTCACACTTTATTAATCTATCATAAGTAACAATCAGCCATTAGCATTCTGATTTGTTGCTGCTGTATTTTGAAGCAGTGGTTTTAAGGAGTATGGAAAAAAAAAGGATTCTATAAGCAAAATGAATTCTCATTATCAGATTTTAGAGTTTCTTGTTCTATATTACAAAGATTTTTTGTCAAAAACCAGCAATTTTACAGTTCATCGTCAATATGAGCATTTATTTATCTAGTGGGATGGGGGTGGGGTGGATGGGGGTGGGGTTAAGATTTAAAAAAAAAAACAACTTATGGTTGAATAACTATAGTAATAATATTGGCAATTATAATTCTGGAAAAGTTTACTGAAACCATTTCATATATGCTGAAACAATTTCATTATATAGGGCTGAATTCATATTAACATTGTATTTTGTTTAGGAAACTCTAAATACTGATGAAAACATAATTTCAGGGCATTTAAGAAAATTATATATTATATAAAGAGGTACACTAGTGAATTAAATTTCAAAACAGATTACCAGCTGCAGCCTATTTTCCCCAAGGAAAATGGTCTTAGAACAGAATATATTGTAAAAGAATTCTAGATTCAGTCTGTTGCTTGCTAAGTCAGGGAAAAAACATACAAATAGACAAAAAAAAATACTTTATTTTGGTTTAATACTTAGATAGATTAAAAATTATATCTTTTTTAGTTAAATTTAGTTTATTCTATTTGACATCTAAGCTTACAATAATTGGGTAGTTCATTCTAACTGCAAAAAAGTTTCATGGAATCGATGAAAACTTTAAGTGCATGTGCAGTGTTTAGAGCCTGGGTTTTATGGTAGAATTTGATCTGCTTATTCAGATATTTTCTGTTCATTTTTTTATTATGAAAAAAAATCGAAGATGTAAAAAAAAAAAGGAATACCTTCATAAACTAATGCAATTAATATTGGCCTTTAAAGGTTAATTAATAGTGATTGGGAGTCTTCCGATTTCCAGGAAATTACAGATTAATTAATCTTCCTAATTTACAGGTAATTGTGATATACATCAGATATAATAAAGAGTAAATGCTAGTTCTACAACTTATTGTAATGGTGCTATAAATCTAATAGGAATATAATCTAAAGAACAGCATGGCTGCCGATAATATAAGGTAGAGGTCAGAAATGTCAATTCCTTTAGTGTAGGAGTTGATAATTGTGAAAGTAATCAAAGATAATGGACTTCAATTATTTATGAGTTACAATTTGTGCTTTTGACAGATATACAATGTCTTTTATATTGATATTGTTGACTGTAAGTCACTAATAGTACGCCCAATTTATAATATATCAGCTCTGTATCATAATAGATTATATGTGGACATGCCAGAAAAAAAATATGTTTCCCGATCCTCATATTTGTTAAATAGTGATCTTTTTTCAGTGCTCTTTTTTTCCAAACAAATTCAAGAAAAGGTGAATTTTTTGAAATCTTTTTTCTCTCTGTTATTTCAGATTTTCCTCTTTCTTTGGGTGCATTAATTAACAAATAAGTCAGTTTTTTTTTTATGCGCCCGGATCGATAGATCGGGGGCGCATATTGTTTTTGTCCTGTCTGTCTGTTTGTCTGTCTGTTGTCAACTTTAACCTTCACCATAACTTTTGAACTATAGGAGATAGAGACTTCATATTTGGTATGCATACTCCACTAATTAAGTTCTTTCAAATGACACCAAGGTCAATGACCTTGTGACTTTGACTGTGACCTATATGCTAAAAATAGCTTTTTCGAACTTTGTTGCCGCCGGGTGCATAGTGTTTCACAAACACATCTTGTTTAATTTAGTAAATAAGTTGGAATTAAGTTTTAATATTGGTTGAAAATCCATCTTTATAGAAAGGAGCCAATTTCCTATATGCAACTTACAGTATCCATCATGAATCTAATTTTTTTCAATGTTATCTGTAAAAAATCACATCATTAAAAGATTTTGTCTAGACACCCAAAAAAGAACTGTCTGTCTTTATCATCAGATATTGTTAACTTTGACAGATGAAGATGGCTCAAGATCACTGTTGTTGAAAAAAAAAAGAAAGATATAATTTATCACACAAGCTTAACATGCTTAAGGGAAGTTATATTATCATGCTTTAACTTCATTATGTGGTTTTTTTCCCCCTCAATGAAGACCAGATTTGAATATTTCTATTTTTGTTAGTCTTACAGGGACATTAACTGGTCTGGTTTGGTTTTTGCATGCCCTTCTTAAATGCTATGTAACATGACATTTGGCTATTCTTGTGAGTCCCAAGAGTTAAAAAACATTTTATTTATTGAATTAAGGTGGGCTATTTTGACAATTCCACATCAGAAGCATTATATTTATGGGAGGAAAAAATCCTAATGAATTGTTTCCTTGTGTTGCATTTTATAGAGTATGGAAATCACATACCCCCTCCTTAAAAAAATATTGGGCCCAAAAAAAGAAGATAAGTTTTCAATACCTCTTATATATAAATCAATGCAGTTTTACCAATGTTGCATTAAAATGTCAGATTGACTTTAAGAGGGCACTGAATTTTTTTTTATTACATGTCACACAAAGACACCACTTATTATTATGGATATATACTTCCATCGATGCTGACCATTTCATAAGCACAAACAGAGTTCCAATAGGAATTCACTTATCTTCCATAGCAAAAGCCTATACAGACTGATTATCTCTACAAATGTAGCATGATGTAATTAGTGGGCATTGAGCTAGACTAGTGCACAGAATCTTCCTGGTGGGTTTTTACTTTTTGTGTAAGAAGGGATGGTAATAATCATCTAAAGAGACTTATATATCTGACATTTTGATCAATTCATCAGACATAATCAGCTGTAATAGATGAGTTTTGTACATTTTTGTAAAGGACTTGGTAATTTTGCTTCAGTTTTCATACCACTATTTTTTTAGCTTTTAATTGAAATAAATTTGGATGGAAAGAAAGGAGAGACCTCTAGAGATGGTAACAGAGTTTTGAATGACACATCAAGCAGATTTTCAGTATGTACTGGAATAAGAATCTTAAAAAATAATGTAATTTTTGTTAAAGTGACTCAATCAAGTCAACTGAATCATTTGGTTAATGGTTTCCCTTTCACATGATGATTGTAAATATTTATAGACTTAACATATTGATAAGGTGCCATTTTGTAAAAAACAAGAATATGAGAACTTATAATTTTAATGTCATCCAAAATTTAGGATAGTGCTTTAAGAGTTCCCATGAGGTTTAATGCATGTTACTGGATTTTAAAATCATTGGCACAGAAAAAGGATACCAATATCTGAGGGGAAAATGGCGTAAATATTGATATTTCGAACCCTCTAATGTTAATTTTTGTAAAGTGAACAAATATATTGTTATAAGAAGTTATTTCCAGCTCGAAATTGACTAAGATTTTAAAGTTAAACTTATACATGTAATGAAAAATTAATCACACTCAGAATTAACAAGGATGAATTCCTCCCTCCCCCCCCTTCCCTATAACACGGGATATGACATGATATTTGCTTTGAATAAGTAGAAGAAATCTTATATTGACTTATGATTAAAAAAAAAAAAGAAAAAGATTATGAAATTGATTTTTAACAAATTTGTTTTGGAAAAGATTTTGCATAGCTGTAAGATTGATTTCAAATTTTTTGGGCTCTGTTTTGATTTTTCTTCAATTTATTTATTTGCAATGATGTTTGATATGTATTTGAAATCTTTTGATAACCAACATTGATCTTTAAAAAAATTCCTAATTCTTTAAAGTACAGCTTACTTTATTTTTATTTCATTGTCACTGAAATGTATGTATCAAAAAGATTCTATACACAGTTATTATTTCTAACTAATATTATGCACAATAAAGTTAAGAATTTTCATGACCAACATGATGAAGCTTTATAATTATTATAAATAAAAAAATTTAAAAACTAGAAAAACTCAACGGATAAAATTTTTCAGACATGAATCAGAAATTAATATTTAAAAAAAAAAAGCATACCAAAGAGTTCCACTAACATTCCAAATGGCATCACTAAAATAGAGACCAAGAAATCTGCAATGGCGAGTGACATCAAAAAGTAATTGGTCATGTTCTGTAGACGCCTGTCCCATATTACAGCAATGCAGACGAGGAGGTTTCCAATGGCAGTACAGAACACTATCAGCACTATGGCCAAAACCCCCCACTTTGGAGGTAACGGTTCTGGTCCGCTGGAGGGGGTGATATTTACCGAAGAAAAATTGGTCAGATTGCCTATAGTGTACCCAACAACATGGTTGGAATCATTCATTCTGATGTAAGGCCTTGCATCAACATGGACTGTTTGATCAACATGGATTATGTTTGGAAACTGTAACATGGATAACTCTTCCTTCCCTTACATGATAAGAACATCAAATCCAACTCTTCTCAGTGCAGCTCACATATAGATTCACTTGACTAGCTCCTTGGAGTAAACTTTATTGATAATGCCAGGCTCAAAGAAAGCTTAACTGCGGAAGCGGAGTGGGATGCTAACTTTGTGACTGAATCGAGTCATCTGAGTTCAATACTACGCTGCAGATATTCTCTGAGTCCATTGATTAAATGTTTTTCAGGTACTCCTCGGCTATTCATGCTATATTAGATCATTACTGGATATACATGTGAATGACATCTATATACTCATTGCAAAACAGATCTGAACGGTTTTGTCTGAATTTCTCACTTGATCAAACATTCAATACTCTGTTCCTCCTTCCTTTGCTGGTGATAACAATCCTCTTATCTTTTGCTTCCTTTCATCCCACAAGGCTTAGGGTTCTGCTTCAGTCAATTGCCGGAATTTATTTTTAAATTTACCAAAGTTGAGCATTTGTGGGTTTTAGATCACAGACAAGATGTTCTCAGTCCTTGCTTCATCCATGTGGTTTGATAATTTGCAGTGGGGGTATTAAGTATTTTTTTTCAAAGTTTGATTTGATTATCCAGATATTTACTTAATTTTTTCCTTCAGATTTTAGTTTACACATAAGCATCACTCCTGGGACCCCTTGGATGAAATTATTAAATATCAAAAATCCAGAGGTAATTTATTGTATCAATATTGAAATCAATGTGCAACCACCAGACCAGTACATGTCGGTCAAAATTCCATTCTCTGCATTTGGGTCATACATGTTCATCAATTTTATGAAGAGAATCAAAAAACCATATTAGAAATTTTTGTTAATTGTTGATCCTTTGAAAAATAAAAGGTTTTGCTCAAATCAATTCCATTAGGTCACTGAGGCTGAATTGGAAGAAAGAAGCAGTGTAATGGGCTTTATGCGTGCATGCACAAAAGTGTTGCAGGTTAATTAAGCTGTATCAGCTACAAACTTGCCAGAAGTTCATATCTGCAGACAGAAATTCAACAGTAACTTGGTAGAACACAGACTTAATTCACACCTGGGGTTAAGGGCTGATGAAAATGTGCCAGGTATATAACTACCAACATGATATCTTCTGGATTTATAGTGAATAACCCGTGGCAAAATATTGAATACCATTATGTCACTATACAATATTAACAGAGCCTTTTGCTGGGCACTCATTATTGATTGACATAATACCCAATTGCTGTAAAAGTTATGGATTATACCTTTTAGTATTAATGTCATAAAACTCATGAATTAAGGGATTTAGGTTTTTTTCTTGAGTATGAAAATTAATTATTGAAGAAATATTGGTTAGTAATTAAAAAAACAGGGTGAAGGGAAGAATTAATTGATTAATAGCTTTGCACATTAACCCATTTTCCAGGCACATATGTTTGAGAGACCAGATAAGCTTGGCATTTCATTTTCAGTTTTTTTTTTATTGATCATGTGAAATTTTAACAGAAAATGTTTAAACAATGATGGTAAATGATTTACCTCAAAATTCATGACATATTAGCTTTACAAGAACAGAATGTCTGTATACTTAACTAAGGTTTGAAGGGGAGCATGAGAAAGAGATATAAGTTCGTGCAAAATTAATATTTCTCATCAGCTTTATGTTGGAGTGCCTCGATCCATATTGGCTTGCTTTTATTGGTAGTCTGTATTAAGGTTGCAGGTTTAAACTCGGCTACAGTTTGCTCAGGTCTCTCAGTTTATACCATTAAGAGACCCTCCCTTTTACACAGTCTTATCCTGGCCTTCTTGTCTACTGATCGAGATATACTTTTTAGGTCAGGTACAGTAGTTTATATAGTGCATAATTGATGAACTCCCCTAACAGATCTTTATCTGTGTTAATGATAGCCCTGTAGTGGGAGAATTTGTACCAAATATAGTGAGAATGTGTAATTTAGTAAGACATTTTATGGATAGTGCACTGGTTGATGGCACAGAACTTTTGAAATAGAGTATGGGTTTAAGTAACAAAGTCAATATGTAAAGCAGATTTTACTATTATGATTTTATCTTAGAAGGGAGATCATTTGAAAGTGCTTTTTTGTATGCTAATATTCATGAGGTAAATAATTGAAACCCAGTATAACCTATAATCAAATAAAATTTCCTGAAAATTCTTTTTCATCAATTTTAGTGATGACTCTCTCATTATGTATCAAATGTATTTTATAAAAAAAAAAGTATATATTTACCACAATGAAAATATTAAATGTATATTGAAATGTATTTAGTACCAAGCTAAGATTCCTGAAAATTTAAGTTATACTGATGTAAGTTTTTTAGTCCTATCAGCATGGTCTGTGTGTAGAACTGGTGAGATCAAGTGAAATTGCTTCCTCCCATTCTCACTGTGTTATCACTCTAAGCAACAGGGATTTTTTTTTTTTGGTATAATTCTTCAGCATTTTAGAGAAACTTAGAAGCATTTGATTGGTTGCCATGATGATGTGCAAAGATTTGATTTGATGCAGTGATCTACAAAGAAGTAATGTACACATACTTTGAAGACATTTTTGCAAAGGGAGAAAAAAAGTTTTATGATATTTGCAGGTTAAAAGTTAACCATTTTTTCCAATTTGTCATTGTTAGTTTTTTTTTTTTTTAAATTGTCACTTATTATTTACACTTAAGACCCTGTGTCGCAGTAGATGCTGGTACAAAAAAGATCCCTCACTGCTCAATTAAAGGCTGTAAGTGCCTAGTACAGGTCTAAATTTGCAGCCCTCCACCTGCAAGTGGCGGCTCCTCAATATGAGTAAAAAATTCTTGAATGGATGATAAACAAAAAAAAAAGAACAAACAAACAAACAAACAAAAAAAAACACTTGAAAGGCCTCTTTTTTTTTTTTTTTACAAGTGGTAAAAAAAAGATTATATTGCTCAAGTTGGAGAAGAAAAAAAAAAGCTCACTAACTTGCGCATGCATGGTTTATAAAGGAGATTTCTCCCCTTCTTCCCTTTCTTCATCTTGCACCCCCTTTTTGATCACAGCACCCTCCCTCATTTCCTACCTCTTTTATCAGCATAATCCCCTTCCCCCATTATACCCATCTTCCCCCCTCCTCCCCCCCCCCCCAAAAAAAAAAAAGAGAGAAAAATAAGAACATGTGATTAAAAAATGATAATAAAAAAAAAAAATTACTGAACAAAAAAACCCTCTGCTGATGTTTGCTGTTATTGACACAAATATCTAATTATCTATTGATAAATATTTAGAAGTAATGAAGTCACACAGAGCACAAAATTTTCAGACAACCCATATGCATTGTAGCTTAAGAAAACAAGATAATGTCTGCAATATTTGTTGCAGTGGTCTGCAACAGACATTTAAAAATTGTAATACTTGTAGCAGAAAAGTGTAGTCTGTAAAGCGTAAATTTATCCCTGCTTTTAAGTATGCCATATTAGAGTCTGAATCTGAAGTGAACAGCAATAAAAGAAGATGGAAGATGTAACATTTATTGGCTTAGTGTGGTAAGCAACCTTGTAAACCATCCTAGTACTTTATCAAGATTAACCTTAGCATAACGTGTATAATAATTCCATCAGCGATCAGAATAAAAGGGAAAACCCAATTTTACTAGGTCTGGTTGTATGTGATAATACATTTTACTAGTATTGGATAATTACATTGACCAGAGGTTATGGGTAATGGCAAGTTGACTGATATCGAGACACGCAGTTCGCCGTCACATGGCAGCCTGATATAGTTCTACAGAGTTAAATATCCGCAAATTGTATCCTGACCAATTGGCACCAGATAATTGTCACAATTTTCAGGCTATCTGTATTCCATGGGTCATTTAGTAACAGTCAAAGTTAGAGCGATCCTGCAGATATATATATAAACAATATTTTCAAAATAACACATTAATTTTATATATTTAACAATTTAAGCTGTTTCTTTAAATGTCTGTCAGCAAAATTTAAATCTGGAGGTATATCATGCTTATGTATATGTTTAAAACAATGAAAAAATGATTAAAATTAATAAAATTGTCACTCGGAAATAAATTTTTATCACCAGATTATTAATAGTTTATACTGACAAGAAACAGAAATGTGAAATTCAAGTCTGATGCCAGGCATATACATGTAACTCATACTGCACTGTACAGCAGACATCGAGCAAACATGAAGTTAAAACAGTTGATAAAGAACTATATATGGTAAAGGCTTTTTTACACTGAAGATGTGCACCAAACAGAATCAGACAGAATACAGTAAAAAAAAATATCAATAAGGAAATTTAGCAAGATCGCAAGTTCCCTGCAGCAAGGACTATTTCCCAAAGTGGAGATTCTGAATGAGAAAAAAAATTGTAAAGGAATATTAATAAAATGCAAATCTAGGTTAATTAAAACTATTGTATAGTAAGACATTAGAAACAAGTTTAAATTTTGCTCATTTTGATATTCCTTAACTTTATAAATATGTAGTCATAAAACACAGATCTCAGAGAGAAATTTCTATATTTACATTATCTAGTACAATATACAATGAACATGTGTATAAAAAAAAAAAAAAAAAAAAAGGTGCTTTAGAATCTTCTAGACTAAAATTTGCAATAGGAATGCCCTCTTCTTAAATAACTTCATTTTTTTTTATGATCAATACTTGAATTTTGGTCATATTGGCAATGCATGAAATACTAAAAAAGCTCCCATTTAATTAGTTTGCCCCCAGAGAACTGAAAAACAATATTGTAGTGAAGAATTGTCAGTCAGGGGTTTTCATTTAATTTGATTTAAGATCATTATTTCCAATAAGAACCTTTAATTTCCTACTCTTACCATTAAAATTAATTTTAAAATTCAATTTGCAAGACTAAGGCAATACATTTTGAGAGTCTTGATATCTTTTAAAGTTCAATAGTTAGACTAAATAAAGAATTTTTCATTTATTTTGCTAATTTAATTTTAAAGTTCTAAAAGCAAAATTTGGTTTCTGGCAATTTAGAGAAACTCCAAGAACAGAGAGAGATTATGTACATATTACCCCCCCCCCCCCTCCCCAGGGCTGCAGTCTTCAGGTGTCAGGTAGTTTCTTAATTATGTTCCCCAAACGAAGTTTGGGAACATATTGTTTTT